TAAATTTACAGACTTCAGCTTTAAGTCATCAGATGTGTGGGAGGCTAACAGCTAATAAGTCAAAGGCTGTGGTTTTAGCTGATTTTAACAACTCATATTATTTTAAATGTATGCATCAGAATCAAGGCTGTATAGTGGATTTATTATGATTTGTTTTAGCTAGTGGGCTTTAGTTTGACAGTGAGTTGACAGGAAATGGGGTTAATAGAGGGGAAAATGAAAGCAACAAAGGTCAACAGGTCGGGACTCGAACCATTGACAGCTGCGCTCAGGAGTAACAGCCCTTTCAGAAGAGACCCAGCGGGTTCACAACTGCTTCTGACACTCATTAATAACGTTGGCAAAGCTTTATTGCTGCATCGAGTAAAGCATATATGGAGTGAATTTTATTGTTGCATGTACAGAATACATTTTGTAAATAGAAATTTTAGGGAAAATGCATTCCAGAAACAAAACGTGTGTAAATCGAAAACAGGTTTTGAGAGAAAATGTGTTGTTTTCTCGAATTTATTTTTCAAATGTGTATTTTCAGGATTTCATTTAATAGAATTCACATTTTCACTCTTTTTTAAGACATTTTTTTCAGTTTGAATTTTATGAATAATAAGTTTTTCTTTTCAAATTGTGTTTTACAGATTAAATTCACTTTACTTCAAGAGCACAGTAACCAATACAATGTTTTTGCTAGTGTCCATGGAGACCGATAGAATACATCCCACTGCAGAGAAAATTCTGCCTACAGAAGTGAAATGAAAGTGATCCATGAAATGCAATTAAAAAATAATATTATATATATATATATATATATATATATATATATATATATATATATATAAATAAAAAATAAATAAATCTGAGAAAACAGGAAGTAAGTCTCAAAACAATTGTTTTTTCAAAACTTTATTTTTGTATGTCTTTTTATTTTAATTTACAGTTATTTCTTTTTAGAAATAACTGATCAAAATTCCCTCCATAAGTGCAGTGCACCACCTGGCCCTTGACCGCGGGCTGATAAATGTACACAGAACCAATAGAAACCGACCATCCGGCCATAAACCTGGGGGACCAGGAAGCAAAATAAATGAACAGTTAATATTGTGTGTCTGAATTCTTCAAACTTCATGATCCAAGCGATTGTGGTGGCTTTGGAAATGACATTCTTGTACGGCGCCTGCTGGACCTCAGGGTTTCGTGCACCCAAGGCCTTACGGGTCACAAGCTTTACCTCTAAACCACCACTGGTCTATGCTTCAGTAAACCTTTTGGTGTCTTTTTCTGCACCAACCAATGCCGTCCACATCCATGGGGATAATTTCTTCACCAAAAAGAAGCTCTAGAGAAGCTCTACCATGTAACTGTTATCTAGTGTTATGGAGTTAAAATAAACCTAAAACACTAGAACTGAAAACTCTTCACAGTTCGAGATACATCTGAATCCCAAGTTCAGTCCTTAGCTGAGGAGGTTTTATTGTTTTGTTTTACTTTGTCTGAGTGTGTGTCTGTGTGTGTGTGTGTGTGTGCTGAGGAGGTTTTATTGTTTTGTTTTACTTTGTCTGAGTGTGTGTCTGTGTGTGTATGTGTGTGTGTGTGTGTTTGTGTGGGAGGAGTGACGCGAGTAACAAGAAGCTCTGACAGTCTTTGGAGCAAAAAATAGCCTTCTACGGCCATCCCTCTCGTAGCCACGCTTGTATTGGTGGGAGCTGCCTGCCCAAACTCCGCCCTCTTTCTCTGTAAAGGAGAACAGGTGGAAACGGATGGGATGAGTTGGATACTATTGCTGGTCCAGCAGCTGGGGGACCCTGCTTGTCCCTCCGTTGACAGGCTGGACTAATGGACTGCGAAGTGCTGAAGCAGGTCGCCAGGAGCCAAACCGCATACTGTCCACACACACACACATTTATCATCACCTGATACTTATGTGAACAGATGTCTCACAACACCGACATGTAGTCCAGACAGTGGGCTCATTCTCACAGCATCCTTACATGTGTGAGTTCATCATGTAGGACTCAGAACACGCGTGTCCCATGTTGGAAACAGCTGATCAGATCCTCTGCTTCTTACCCTGGTTGATTCCACTGCTGTTTGCTACTATACCTTTCTGGTGTCCGTCTCTGATCAGACAGCGCCCTCAGGTGGTCAGCACTGCTCAATTTAAGGAGAAATTGTTTATGGAGGCCTTAACATTTTAAGACAAGCTTTATTTTAATTTGTTCTGCTATTTTTTAAGAAACTAGGGTTAAACCAAAACAATTAAGTATATTTTCCTGAGCTGCAAGCCTTAACCTTGGCTTCTTTTTAAAGGCATATTCACTTATGCATGTTTTTCATGTTTTTCCCCCAGACTCTACGTAAGAAGGGTTTAAACGGCTGCGAAAGCCCTGACATTGAAGCCGATGACTCTGCTGGCCAGAGCCCAGAGTTAGATGACAAGTACTGCAAACTGACTGAGGACATCGATCTGATGATCAACAGACAGAGACTCTGCGTAAGTTCAGGCCTGGTTTCTGTTTAAAGTCTTTGTTTTATGGAGTTTCTATAAAAATGTTCCACTTGGTCCAGCAGGGTCTGCCTCCCTCCAGCTATGACATGGGGGTGAGCATCCCAGGCAGCAACCCCGGCGGGCTGCTGTACACCCACCAGGGCTTAGGGGGTAATCACAACCTTCTGCCTGTCACTCACTCGTCCTTGCAGAGAAACACCATGTCCCCTCAAAGGCCTTCCAGCACAGAAAATGCAGGTATGTCTACGTTCAGTTGGACTTTAGTTGAGGGGTTAATCAGGATTTTCTGACGATGAATTCGGTAAAAAGTTTTTAAAAGTTACAAGATAACTTGATTAGTGTCTGTTTGCTGGTGAAGATTCTCAGTCTTCCAGGTTATAGTGATTTTAAAAAAAAAGTAAAAAAAAAAAAAAACAAAGAATCCACTGGACTTTGTTTCCAAGTTTGAAAAGGTTTTTACTTCCAATCCAGGAAGTTTTTTTCAATTCAAAATGTCAGAAAAATTGTTGATTTGTCCAGAATGTTCATATTTTGGACAAAGAAGGCAGGTGGTTTGAGAGGGGCGTGAAGGAAGCCATCTGTGTTAAGAAAAAAAAAAACAACATCAAACAGAGAGGGTGGAATCAGATTTCAGCTTTCAAAAACTTACAATGCAGCAATTGATTTGATTCCTTCCTGCTATCATTGCAACTCTAAACCCATTACAGGGGAACAGAAGACCTCGCCTGTCCAGCCAGGCCAACAATTCCCCTTTACCTCTCAAAATCCACCCGGTTGTTTACAACTAGCAACTCAGAAATGCTGGTGACACCAAAAGTTTAAAGCCCCACAGCTCTGGAACTGCAGGGATTAAAGTATTCCAGCCTGAGGCTGGATTACCAGCTGGTAGCGTTTCCCCAAGGGCAAAAATAATCACTCGAATATAAATTGACAGTAAATACATTTTAAAAAGGCAATTGAAATCCCTCTTGTTTTTGACAGCCAATGGGAGCAAAGGAGAGAAACTAACAGTATTAGCCAATCAGAAGAAGAAGGGGGCGGGTCTTGGGAAAGCGTGTATCTCCTCCTCTCGTTTCTTGCACCAGATAGATTGTGATACAGTGCTACATGTAAGTTCTACACGGAAAGTCACCTTGCGCCGTTTACAGCTCCATTCAACGGAGAGTTAAAAGTCATAATAAATTAAACTGAAAATGGAAAGAAGATTGAATTGAATGGAGAGGGCAAAATGAAACATGACTTAGACCATGGTCATCAAGCTGCTGTTCGTGCGGCCACACAAACTACACGTTTGCCGGGGGAGCTACGGCAACAGCTGATGTACAAGCGTCAATAACTGACTGTGTATGCGAGTTAAAAATTAGGGTGTGTGCTTTCCTCGCTAAATACGACCTCTCATTCACACTAGATATAGATACACTTTCGCCATCTTTTGGCCGTTTTTCATATTGGACTTTCAAAAGTCAAATTTAGTCTTCAATCATTCATGCAATCTCTGATCCCATATCCCCACACCCCCCTGACATGGGCTTCCATGGGACTGTTATACTTAGGGGTCTGAGATTTTCTTTATTGGGCTACTGGGTAAAGCCTGGAACTCAACGCTATTCCTGACATTTTGAAATGAAAAAGCTTCCTGGATGGGAAGGGAAACGTCTTCAAACTTGGAAATAAAGTCCAGTGGATTTTTTTTTTTTACTTTTTTATTGGATATGTGTCCATTATTCAGTGGAAATCCAGTTCAATGACTCTTTGGACAGCAAAGCTACCTGCTAATCCAAGAGGGGCTAACACCCAGCAGGACCTTTAACACTTGTCATGTTTATGTTGGGATTTTATATTTACACAGACTCAATAAATGTTTTTCATGGATATCAGACCTAGAGAGCAGCACTGGTCTCTCTTTGTGTAACAGTGTGAAATATTTTTCCGTCTCCCTGCAGGGCTGCTGGGTTCCGAGCTTCCAAACACTATTGTCTCCAGTGTAGGTAAGGCCGTCTGCACTCTTCTCTTCAACAATTAACTCTAAACCGTCATCATGGTCAGAATGAGCTTCACGTAACACTGGATTATGTTTTCTCACAGGAAACGGCAGCTTTGGCTCTCATTGCGCCTCCCCTGGACTCATGTCTTCAGCCAGTATCTCCAAGAACATGCAGGACAAGAGTCCTCCTCAAATGAGCATGAGCCACAAGCCTGACCTGCGGACACTGATGCCACCCAACAAGTGCTCCATCATGCCAACCGTTGTGAGTGATTCTCATCATTTCCCATTTTTTAAAGTTAGTTGTACCTTTGTAGAGTTTTTACCTGTGGTGTCACGACACGTTTTCAGTTCCCATGGGGTCACCATCCTTTTTAAGGCATAGGGCCACTTCAAGGGTACTGGGTCATAGGAAGATCTACGGATACTGACCCTTGAAGTGCAGGGGTTAGCGTTCACCTAAACTTTGTAGATTATAAACATATTTTTAGTTTTTATTTTCATTTCTAATATTATTTTAGACATTATCATTTTAAAATGCTCTATATAGAATTAAAAAAGAGGAGCAACAGAATAAAATAGCATTTAGAACTCAGTCCACCGGCAAGTTATTCTAGACTCTGAGTGTCATGGTTTTGGTTCTGTTCAAGTTGTATCTCTAAGTTTTCATTGGTCTTATTTCCATTTTTGTGTTCAACTTATTTTTTATTTTATATGAGTTCTTAGTTTCTTGTTCGCCCTCTTGTGTCAGTCTCCTTTGCCCTAGCTCCCTTCTTGCCTCCTCTTTTCACCCCTGCTCCCAATTTGCTGGGTCCATATCTGGCTGGTTTGTACTGTCACAGTGGGGTGGAGGTTTGAAGGTGGACCCAATGCAGACACAAAAGCTGAAGGTGGTTACTTGCAAATTTTAATAACAAAAAGGGTAACAAAAGCAAAAATCCAAAACTACTGAAAACAAGGAATATTCACAACAAGGGGGCAAAGAAATGATGACAAAGAGTGACGGAGGAGAATATATGGGAGAGGGAAACAGAGACCAGGCTAATTAGCAGACTGGGAGCAGGTGTGAACAGGGGCAGGAAGGGAGTTAGGGAAAAGGAGACTGACACAAGAGGGCAAACAAGAAATATCTAAGAACTCATATACAATAAAATGAAAACTTAGAGATAAAAGTTGAACAGATGTTGTTTTTATGTTGTGTTATGTTACAAGCATGTATTTCATTTTTACGAGCAAGACGAGAGCATTTATATTGGGCGTAAGGTGAAGAGAATGTGATCTATAAAACACAATTTGAAAATAATGCAATTCCTAAAACTCAACCTGAAAAAGAGAAATAAAAAAAGTGAAAATATAAAACACTAAAAAAATAAAAATAAATAAAAACCTACGAAAACACTAAAGTTAGTCTCAAAATCTCTTTTGATGAATAATTTTTTCAATTTTTAAGTTTTATTTCTTGATTGCATTTGTATTACATTTTTAAATCTGTTTACAAATGTGTTCTTTGCATGTTGCAACAATAATGGAGCAAAATCTTAAACTAACTATATAACATTCAGAATTATTTTTTTCTTGAATGTCCAGAACCAGAGAATAAATCACTCCCAGGCGGCTCAGACACCTGCAGTGTCCATCGCTGCGTCTGGCATTGGTGGTTATCCATCCGCCATCTCCTCTTACAGCACAGGTGAGTGCAGACGCACTGATGAAAGCTGCTGAAGGCTGCAGGCCTCATTTTGAAGAGATGTTTGAGGACATATTTTTTCCCTCCCTCAGAGTTCTCCCTCGGCGGTGACCTGTCCTCTCTTTCTGGGTTTGGAGGTTCTGGTCTGGGATCAGTGACGAGCTGGCAGCAGCAGCAGCTCCACAGTCTGCAGCATTCTGCACTGGGACACATGGGGTGGGTCTTTAACACTCTGAGTTTGTCTGCTGTTATTATCGGATCTATTTAGTTTTAAATAATGTGCTGAAATTAAAGGTTAGGTTTGGTTTTATGGTGCAGTAATGTAACAGTAAAAACAATTGATTTGATCATTGTTCCCCAGTTATTTTGAAATGTTTTAAAAATGTCAAACATACTGTTACCTTAACCCAGAATAAATCCATTTAGATTGTTTCTAAGTAATGTGTGAGGTTTATGAGGGCTGTTTGATGGGAAATCTAACCCTCTGTCCACAGAAACTTGTGCCAGAACTCTAACCTGGACCTCCCCTCAGTTCATCACAACCTTCACATAAAGTGTGAGCCCGCGTCTCCTCCCAGGGACCGCAGCGTCGGCGCGGTCGGGGCCGGACTAAGAGCAGGCATGAACCCAGCCGGGTACTCCATGGGCGGCGGCCGCGGGCCGCACGAATCTGGCAGCTCCCCTGGCGACAGTGCGTCCAGCTGCGGCAGCTCATACGAAGGCAGCGAGGAGCGCGAGGATCACCATGGCAACGGGGGTTTCCTAATGCAGCCGCTGCCCAATCAGGAGGAACGTCACAGCCCATCAGTAAAACGAATGAGGCTATCAGAAGGCTGGGCCTCATAATGGGAGCCGCCCTCAGGCACAGGGTGGGGGTGCAGAGAAAGTTACCATATAGTGTTATTATTATTATTATTATTAATATTATCATATTCTTCTCGTACGGAATGCATGTGCTTTATGTTTAATGGTGGCGTGTCGTTGAGGCGGCTGGTCTTGCGATACTGCAGGTCAGGATCAGTGCACAAAACCTGAAAAAAACTAAAATTTTGGAGTTTGATCTGTGTGTCAAAATATTTTCAAGATTATTTTTAATCTGAGGGGAAAAAGTTCATGCAGCAAAAGTTTACTGCATCTATAATCCATCCAAGTCACCAAATATATGATAAATATAGTCTGACCAACATCAACCATGAAATATATGAAATATACCATTTTAACAGGAAGAAACCTTCATAAGAACCAGGTTCAGTGTGAGCGGAGATCTGCTGTAACCGACTGGGGTTCAAGGAGACAGAAGCAGAGATATGTCAACTCATTAAATAATACACAGTTTAATCTTCTCAGCGTCTTTCTCTCTGACCTGTCTGCTATTTAAACTCTGTGGTAAAGTTGAAAGGGTTTTACCAAAAACTCTTTAAATCTTTTTATAATAATTATTTGGAGTAAAAACTTTGTCTTCCCTTTGCTAAATCGGACCTCAGACTTTTTTACAAAAACTTTTTGACACACATTTGAAACTTGGGAAATGTTTCTTTTTTTTCTTAATGTGTACGCTGATAGATGCGTATTATGCTTGAGATGATAGAAAGCTGGGAGGTCGGACGGTGTATATTTACTGCTTGTTTTCAGTGTGTTTAGGACAGTGTGGGGATAATAGGTCTGCTGCAAACTAATGAAAAGGTCAAGAAGTCTGGTACTCTGTACAGCGAAGCTGCTGGTGAGGATCTGTGCTCGTGCACTCGGTCTGCAGTTCTTATGCAAGCTGCGTTGCAGGTTCAACACAAACAAATGCTTTAAATGTTTTGCACAAGAAAAGACGAAGGAATTGAGAGGGAAATAAGCTGAGGAAACAAGTAGGAAAAGAGTGAAGGAGAAGGTGCTGATAAGGGGGATTTTCGACTAACAGAGGAACAGTTTTATTGGAAGTTTAAAAGCCACATAGAAGCTGCTATTGGTTCTGTTATTCGAGAGGCTTGAGGACAGGCGGGGGTGTTGAGATGGTTGTAGCGAGGTCTGTGGGAGCGAGGGCAACAGGTTGCTTAGTAATTAAACATTGTATACATTTATTTGATACTGAGATACTCAGTTTTTCATTAGCTTTCTGAGTTGTGTGGCTAAAAACAATCCAGAGAGCCAAAACCAAGAAAAAAGGAGCAGAGGAGGCTGGATCTGAACCTGAGAAACAAACTGTGAAAATGAACCACTACAGAATAACCATTGTTCCATGTTTTCTTTTGTTTCCTAATGACTGCTGGGTATAAACTGGAATCACAGCTGCTGTGGCAGCAGAAAAGTTTCAACTAAAACCTCAAAAAACAGCTACATTTAGAAAGTGGGATGTGGGACACCTAGAGGCAAACTTTTGAACTACAGCCAAATAACTCCAACCCATTTACCCCTGGAATATGATGGCCATAAACTAGTGTAAAAGTAGAATCATTAGGCTTGTTTATTATAGATTTTGTGGCGTTTATTTATTTTTTGAATTATTTATGTAAAAAAAATCAAAAAAGGGAAAAAGTTAGAAATGTGTGTCTCTAAAAGCAATGCTTCTTCAAAATGGTTAAATGGTTTCCATTAAAACACTAAATATGCTTTTTACTATGTTCTTTATCTTTAAAATTAATTAGACGTTAAATGACAGTTCTGCTTTGTATGCTCCTGTGGTTCTAATGAGTCTCTAGTCACTAAATCACTGCAATCTTCTGCGTGTTTTTTGGCCATTTATTTAATACTAATACTTCTCAGCCCATTCCTTTGTTGATCCCTCTGTTGTGGTTCCCTTTCACTGTTTTCTTTCTAGTCCACACTAAGTTAGATTTCGGTTTTGGCCATTTTTCCCACTGTAACACAAGTTTTTACAAAATGATAACGGAGCAACGCTGTGATATTGGTCAGAGCTGTGGAGAGAGTTAGGTGCACAAACCTGTGATGTTCTGTTTTAGAAACGAAGGTTTCCTTTGTTATTTTGACTAAGGCATGTTTTATTGAGCTCTGCGGTCCACTCTTCTATCTGAGGTATAAACACAAAAGGAAGCTCAACATTTTAGAGGCTGGTGTCAGACCCTGTGACACTTTACAGCAGCAAACACAACAGCTGCACACTTGTTCATTAACATTTGCAGGAAGCGCAAATTACTCAGGTCATTTATTTAAAGGAATATCCTATTAGAGCGATGCTGTGATGACTTAATGGAAGTAACCGGGTATTATTAGCAGGATGTATATTTATGCAAATTTTATTTAAAATGGTATCTCAAGGTACTAATATTTATCATATCCAGTTTTAAAGAAATAGAAAACCCATACCAACCAATGCAAACATGTAAAATCAGATCATAAAACACAGTCATTTACATAAAGTCCAAATAATTTGGCCTAATAGCTTAGAAAACGTATCCCACTAAAAAACAAATGAAACCTCTACTTCCAGATGTAGACCTTGTCTGAATATGAGATCTGAGAAATGTTCAGAGAGTTCAGAGACTGAGAGCTGGATGTTTTGATTAAATATATTCAGGCATCAATTATGGACGTTTTTTGTTTTTTTTTATGACTTCCAAGCATTTTTGAAATTGTTGAATTTAAAGTTCTAGTAGAACAACAAACTTTTTTGTTTTTGTTTTCTTGCATTCTAAAATTAGACTAAAAAAAATCATGCTCAGCAACTGAATCTGTTTGTCTCCTTTTATGAGATATAAAACACCAATAAATAGTTGAACTTTGCAGCTACCTCTGTTTATGCAGCCATTTTAATTTAAAGGCTGAGGTTGGTTAAAAACCTGCTATGCTATTCCAGCTTTTAAACATGAAGCTCAGTCATTTACACCCCAAAATTCCCGCACCCTATTTCAGTCAGTCTGACACCAGCCACACATCCAGTTTTTTGTTTGTTTTATTTAATAAAGCAGGACTGCTATTAATATCCCCGCTAGTGTTTTACTTTTGCTTCCTTTGTTTTTTTTGTGTATTAAAGAGACAGGGGTGGCTGGGGGTTCTAATTTGAATATTTTTGCTTTAAACTGTATATTTGGAGCTCGACCCCTCAGCCACTCTTTAATTTTTCTGCTAGCACCACAATTTGTTTAGAAAATGGTGAAGCAACACATGTTGCTGTTCATTAGCTGCATATTCTCAGTGTCAGACTGAAAAGATGTGAGGAAAATGAGCCAGGAGCTCATCTCTAGGCTCCAGGTGGCGCCAGCTGACTGCAGGTGAAGGTAGGAGGCTGGCTTTAAGAGAGGATGTAAACTAAGCAGCTCCACTTATGTGCACATAAATCTGGATCTTTGTCTGGTACCTAAAAAGCTCTAATAAAAATTGTTGTACTTTTTTTTTTTAACTGGTGACATTAATAAATGTCTTCTGATCAAAACAATGTAAGAGTTTGATCGCCCCCATCACCTATGCTTCCAGCTATTGGGCTTAGATTTACCCAGAAATTGTTAGCGGCATGAGCGGGCCTTCTGTCGCCACCTGACTCAACAGTGAACCAGGTGCTCATCGTTTGTTGCAGAACTCCCTCACTCAGATCTGTGGTAGTGTTTGTATTTTGCAGAAAATAAAAAAAATGCCCATGTTTTGTTTCAGCCATCTGTGTGTTTTTTGTGTTTGGGTTTCAGTCCCTGCAGATGTTTAATTGTTTCAATTTATTTTATACGGCACCAATTCACAGAGAAATTTCAATAAGACAGTAAAGTCAGATTGGTTAGATTTTTCTTCTAAGGAAAACTAGCTGATTACATTGAGTTATTGACTTGCAGGACACAGTCTTCCTGGATGAGCGTGCAGCAATGATATTCCCTTTTATTTTATTTTTGACTCCTTAGCACCAATTCACAGTGCTCACTCACGCCGAACATGCATTCAGCAACAGTGGAGAGAAAAAACTCCCTTTTAACACGAAGAAATCTCCGGCAGAACCAGGCTCAGTGTGAGCGGCCATCTGCTGAGGCCGACTGACGTTCAAGAAGAGAGAAGCAGACATACAGAGAGAAGAAGAGATACAAAAGATAACTGTAAACTACCTCCACAGGTGGCTCTGTCTGAAAAAGAAACAGTTAAGCAGGAGCTCTGAGCCAGTTTTCATGTCAAAGGATGAAAGAGATCACATACTGTTACAATAAATTATAAAATAAATAAAAAAGATGAGCCCATGGAGAAAATGAGAAACAAGACTAAACACACAAAAACTGTCTAATAATCCTACCAATTGGGAGCATTTATATAGGAAAGAGAATTGGCCTTATCACCTGAGGTAGTACTCCACAGGTAACCAAGGCGGGATTTATCATTAACATAAACAGAAATCTGTCAGACAAATAAGATTCAAACCAGCCTAGCGCTGTTCCCTCGATTCCTAAAAATAGACTTTCTAAAACAATATTTTGATCAAGCACTGAGAATAACAGGTACAGGGACAAGTCCATTATCTGAGGCCATGAGAATATCATTAGTGATTTTCACCAGAGCTGAGCTCTTCAAAATGTTCATTAACGTTTAGGTGGCTACACACTTGTTTAGGAACTATTTTCTCAAAAAAGTTAGATGATAAAGGAAGATTAGATATTGGTCTATAATTGACCAAGTCATCTGGGTCAAAAGACTATTTCCGAAGTAAAGGTTTAATCGCAGCTACCTTAAAAGCCTGAGGTACATATCCCGGTAACAGGGATAGATTAATCACATCTATAATGAAGGAGGAGATCAAAGGGACTACTTCCCTAAATAACCTGGCTGGAACTGGATCTAACATACAAGTTGAAGGCTTAGATGAAGACAATAATTTTTCTAACTCTGAAACTTCAACTGGATGAATACAACCTAAACCGCTGAAGATAGGTGGTGGTGCCTATCTTCAGCTGTCTACAGATGAGAGCTGGGGTCCATCCTGAACAGGTCGCCAGTCCATCGCAGGGCAACACAAAGACAAACCGAAATAATAACCATTCACACTCACATCTAAGGAGAGTTTAGAGAAGCCAGTTAACCTAACAGCCATGTTGTTGGACTGTGGGAGGAAGCCAGGGTACCCAGAGAGAATCCATGCATGCTCAGGGAGAACATGCAAACTCCATGGATACAGACCTCGAGAATTGGACCCAGAACCTTCTTGCTGAAAGACAGAAATGCTACCTACTGTTACACTAAGCAGCCCAATTATCTTATGCTTAATAGCATAAAACTCATTTATAAATATTAACATAAAATTTTTACTTCTAAGAGCAGGGGGGTGGACAGTTCAACAGATCTATAGCTTGGGGTGAGTTTGGCAACTGCATTAAAAATAAATCTAAGATTATTCTAATTCTTTATATCTAATGAAGATAAATATGGTGTTCTTGATTTACAAAGGGTTGTTTTATACAGCAGTAAACTGTTTTTTTGAAGACTAGGCAGGATTCCTTTCCAGTTGATATTATGCTTCAAAGTGTATTAAAACAAGGAGCCAGCCTCCTATTAAAAAAGTCCTTCTTTATTTAAGGGCTACGTTGTCTAAGCAGTGCAGAGATGAGAAGTAATCATAGTTTTTTTGTAGGATGAATAATTTAAATTACGCCCTCTGCAGTATTGTTCAGAGATACAGAGGAGATAAAAAGTGGAACAGATTCTTTATAATTTATAACTGCATTATGTGATAATGATCTACCGAGGTAAAAGTTTGAAATATTATTTCTTCTCGGTTAATGTTATATGTAAGCACAAGGTCCAATGTATTACGATTAGAATGTGTGGGACTACGCATATTTTGAATAAAACCAATAAAATCTAAAAAAAATACTAACCTCTCAAAATCCACCGAGTCACCGGCGGCCCATTTTAAACCATTTAAAGTATTTAAAGGTATACTGAAGGATTTTCTTTTTCTGGGTGCATCATCAAAATAAGTGGTCCTCCTAATTGTCAGTCATTCTGGTGAAATATTTATGTAAGGCCGTCCTACATGCTCGTCCTCAGTTAACTGTCTTTTTCACTTTTATGTGCTGAGCTACAGTTTCAGCCATTGAAACTCGCCTTTCTCACCGCGGTTGTTTGAAAATGGCCGAGGGTTGTAAGAGAAAAAGTGTCTATGAAGTGTATGAGAAGAAAAGAAAGGCCTCAGAGGAGAGAAACTATCAGGGTGTTTTTGGGAGATTCTTTCCTGCACTGAAAGCACAGCTCGGGCTTCCCACTGATGCCTCAGTTGCAAAGTTTCTACTCGACAGGCACATCACTGCTAGTAAAGCTATCTCTACCTCTATATTGTAACTTTCCAGGGAAGATCAGTTTATTTATTTTTTACTTAGTTCTACAGTGGCCACAGATCTTTATTTACCCCACAAACATCTCCATATTTCCACTGTAGCACACACACATACAAACATGTAATGTTATAATTAATGGACAAGTATTTGTGGGGAAACGTTTTATTTATAAATATGGGTGAGATGAGATCCATCCGAGCGACCGTCTTATCATTTAGATCATGAGCGCATCCTCGAGGAGAAATGGGCTCACGCTCTCACACATGTTTGAAAGGCGTTCCCTCTCAGGAGCAGGTACAGGGTTGTGCATGTGTGGAGAGGGCAGGTTTTTTCAAAAAATTGCGAATATCCTCCACCTTTAAGGTATCACCTTCAATGTCAGCTTGAATTTTCAAATCCCCCACTATGATGACTAAATCAGTCATCGAAGTCTGAAAACTGATCTAATAATTCAGAGAGGTGGACCTGGTGGACGATTCAAAGTTAAACACAGAAGTTTTGTTGCTTTACAAATTGGATAAAGGAAACTAAGGGCTACATTTTTAAATGGTGCACCTAACGTAAACATTAAGAAACCCTAAAGTGCACAGAGGGAAAACTATTTCAGTTGTTAATCTAATCTTTAACTTGCTTAACATTACGATGAAAAATCGTTATACAGAAATTAAGGGCAATGCAAAAGCATTTTAACCTTTCAAAACTTCAGCATGTCCTATCGTCTGACCACAAACCTCTACTTTACTGAGATTTAATGTGATGAAATCTCATTAAATTTTGTGTATACAAAATGACAACATTTCCAAGAAGTTCCCAGCTGAGAGGCTACATGTTGTGTTTAAGTTTTTCTAAGGAGACACAGCAGCAAACATGGAGAGAAATGCTAAAACATCATAAAACCTGCTGCTAGCAGCATCAGGTGGAGGAATTTAACCATGAACAAGGGGCTTGTCAGTGTTGATCGGGGAATGGATGGAGCTAAATACAGGAAAATCCTGGAAGAAAATCTGTCATTTCAATTTGTATCCCGAGTGTGTTGTCTTCCTCTGAAATAGGAAGACAACACACAAAACAAAATGATAACAAATGTGAAAAACAAAATGAATTTTGTTTTTCACATTTGTTATCTTTCCCTTTGTTCCCTCCTCTTTGCTCAGTACCTGTATTTCATCCATCTTTTCCAAAGATCTTATTTGGTATTTTTGGTCTATGCAAAACTTGCAATGAGGAGATT